AACATATAGATATAATTTACATCTATATGCGAGACGTATTTCTGTTCAATAAATTGTGGATGTAACATGGACATGAACCAACCAGGGCTCTTTTACCATCCCGGAAAATGGATGTGGCCATGTAGTTCCAGGCAGGCTGTAAAATGGATGTACGCGCCGCTAGTGTACAGCCTAGAAAAAGCATCTTACGAAAAACGGCAGCGTGGCCTTTCTCAGGCTTCTCTCCGGTACAGTATAGAAGTCTGCAAGAAATTTGTTGTCTATGGTATAAATGGGATAACATAACCCAATCTATTTATATTATATATAATTGAAGATTCAAAATAGAATGTTTGCAATTTTGTGTATGATAATTGTAAAAAGAGTGATCATTTAGCGATAAAAATATAAATAATATATTATAAAAACATAAAATCATTACCTTTGTGGATTCTTAAATTAATTATAAGGTATAAGAATGAAGAAAGTAGAATTAAATGATTCTAATCTCATAGAGGCGACGAAAAGTGAGTTTTCATCTATCAGTAAGATTCAATTTAGATTTAAATTATAAGAATATTTACTTTTATACCGATTTCAATAAAACTTTGAAAAGTTGTAAACTACTTTTTTTAATAGAGCGTATTTTTATTGTAATTTATGATTGTAAAAATGTATTATATATTTTTGGAGAGATTTAGTAAAGTTATAATTTGCGCTATATTAATATAAATTAATTACAGGATTATCCTTATCTAAATCAGTTCAAAAGAAAAATTTGACAGGAATTAAACGTCTTGTAAGTGATTTAGTCTTAAATATACATGCAAATATACAGCAATGGAACAATCTCAATGCTCAAGGACTTACCTATATAAAAGATATAACACAGAAAAGACGTGACAAAAAATATTTTTTAATTCTGCAAGATCTATGTGTCAACTTGGGCAACATTTGTAATAGGATGGTAAATGCTTTCTTGAAGTATTTTTATACTATATTATATCATCTACAATTTTATGAATATTAGTTTTGTGAGAATGTCAACTAACTTTAGATTTAAGTTCCTTAAATTTTAAAATTTTTATAATGTTATATATGAACTTATTGACATAAATAATTGAAATAAATGATTTTATAGGATAACATAGTTGAAAATTTGGATCAAATTAAACATCAATTAACAGCAGCAAAGATTTTACAAAAAAGTACAGATAAATTGTTTCTAACATGGCCAGTGACTAGATTTGGTAAACAACATTTTATTTGTATTTAATATATCAGCGTTTTGTGTGAACAGATTGTGATCAATCCAATCGATTAATGATATCATTGCATTGTTTCCATTAGTAAAAGACTTGAATTTACAATAAAATAATGATTAATTGATCCAGGATAGATCCAAATCCGTTGATGGACGCATCAAAATTTGTTCTCTCAAAAACGCTATATATTACTTTCTCATAATTAAAATAGATAGCAATAGCAGTACAATTTTTTAGTAAAATTATATTACTATGTGTGTTTTAAACGTTTAGAGGAAGTAGCAGAATCTATACATGAAGTATATTGTAAGGAAGCTAAATTGAAACGCATTATACTTGAAAATGTTGCTCACAAAACTTCGGAATCTTGGAAGGTGCTTTTTCTTACAGCATGGGTGCATCAACCTTTCTTACATGACCATGTAAAATTATTATTAGATGTGATGCTTCTTGAAATTAATTACAAAAAATGAAAGTTTCTAATATACATTTTTTTATTGTGATATAGTTAAAAAAAATAAAGCAACTTTTTATCATTTTGCGTGACTATCCAGTTGCGTGGACGGATAACATTATTACATACATGAAATGTTATGATTAATATTGTATACTAAACATTGTTTTACTAGCAAAAAAATATTTTGTTTAATCATTAGTTGTCACTTTGTAAAATAGAAAAGATTTCTGTTGCATATCAATCTTTTAAGGAATATAAAAGCTGTTTTTCCATTAAAATAATAATATTAGTTTTTCAATAAAAATAATAATATTATCGAATGTACATGGAATTGTTAATTTGAAGATAAAATAAAATTATGGAAGAAAAGATTAAAAATATTAATATTATGACCTAAATAAATGAAACATATGCACAAAAACTATTTTATTATTATAGTATATTTTTTTCTAACATAAATATTCACACATTATAAGTGTATTATATACATCAAAATGTCGTAAATTATTTGTATTGTTTTACGTCTCTATTACTTGTAGAATGATATACATTATGTATATCAGTTATCTATATAAAGATAACATTATAGCTATAATAATATATCGTAAATTTTATGACGTATTTATAATTATTTACAAAAATTTTCTTACATATACAAACTAAGGTGAAAAACAGAGTATAATCGGGAATAAGAAATTATGTGTATAAAAATTAGTCGAAAATATTTTCATACGAGGCTTTATTTTTTTAGACAACTAATTAAAAAATTTGAAACAAAAGTGAGCGTTATATTCTCAATACACAACTCTTTCAATTTGCATGATTTTAAATTACTTTTTCGAATAAAATGCTATATTTTTTTATTTATCTATTGATAGTAGTCATTATTGAAGTAAATTAGAAAATATATGACCAAAACGAACATTGTTAAGTGCGCGTATATGCGACAAATATTCAAAGTTACGTTTCTTGAAATGCCACCTTGTATACAAATATTTTATTCTATATTCCTGATTTTTTTTGTGTAAAATCATCCATTTGCCGGTTGTACTATCAATTCAGAGCATCTAGTATATAAACCACACATAACGAAAATGATTTTACAAAAAAAAGTTTAAAATATAACCACTTGGGATTTACAACTCTAATATTGAATAAATCATTAAAAAATAATATATAGTACAATAAACGTTGATAACAGTTTATAGCAGTTAGGAAGTGTATTGATTGTGCTCAGATAACACATTAATTCCTAAAAAATTGTTTTACTGGATCCATAAGTACACCAATCATACAGACATCTTACTTAAAGTGGCATAATTATTGAGCTTTCTGAACACAATCATTGTTTCATGAATATAAAACTTCCCAGATGGGGATTGTTCTAATGAAACAATTGATTATCCATCATTATCCTAGAATGCCCAGAGTAAGCCAATTTATTTCCTCGTTACCGTGTTAGTGTTAAGAGAGTGCGACTTTTGTTTTCACAATTTGAAAATTTTTAAAAATTTTCAAATTAATACGTTTTATTTCTAAAAAAATGCACTTTATTTATTCTGAGGTACTTTGACAAGAACTGTTCTGGTACCCTCAACATCGGAAATATTGATTTTCAATTCGTTAGTAAGAGCTTCGAGTTTATCCACCACTTTGGCCGTCTTCTGTCCGCCTGGATTTGGCGGCGGCCACACGTCGTCCAATGGTGGCTCGATGTACTTCCCATTCGTCATCGCGAGGTCTGGTTTTAAGCCAAGTGTTCCTCCCACGTAATTCATAGAAGAAATGTACTTGGGTGTAACTTCATTGTCAATCCGGGGACGTTTGTAGAGAGGCATTTGCATTACTGGGCTGTAATCATGATCCAGAAGGCCTTCAACCTCCTGCAATAATTCTTCGCCATACTGCTGTAACTCCTCATCCATTAGTTGCTTCGTATAGAGTAAGGTTCTCGAGCGGCCTAAAATATTACAATAATTGTTCCATAATCGAATACATCTTTGTACAAATCATATTGCTATAACAATTTTGCTTGTATATTTTTAAAACAATAAATTTTAGTATATAAAATCCTTATTAGAAGAATCGATATACGCGATTATCTCACTTTAGCCACACATACAATTTTGCGTATATTCTTACCAATGTTTGCAACTTATGCAACAACAATGTTGTTGTCAGTCTATCAAAATGTGTAATTTATTATTATGCTATGCTGTTCATAAAATGTGGATAATCAATAACGAAGTGAGGTAGAATGAAGAAAAACAAACACTCTATGATAAATATTCTTTTAACAAAAGAATAACGAAATTTACCCGCCAGTGATGTTTTCTCCGGTTGCTCCTGCTCTTGTTGCATCAGATCATTGTTATTATTATTGGAGTGTGATCGCAGGTTCGGCACAGCAACGAGAGCTAATGAAAGCAGTAAGACCATCAGGCAAGTGGCTGGCTGAGCACTCTTGTTGCCCTTTTGTATGAGTGCTTGTAATCTCTTTAACTGACCAGCCAGACTTTGATTCTGCGACTGTAAGACTTTGATTCGTTTCAGCAAAGTTATATTTTCTTCCGTGCATTGTTTCACGCGATCTTCCAAGCCGTCCACGTATTCCTTTTTTCTCTTACGAGAATCCTGTGCGGATATCTTGTTGCGGATCTTGCGTCTGATTCTCTTTAATTCACGCTCTTCGTGTTTCGTCAGCGGATAACGACTGGGCAATGTGATGCCCTCTTTTTGCAACAGTCGCTTTTCCTCGGCACTTAGCTTCAGTCTTGGATAAGGCGAGTCCGTTTCCGATGGCACCTCGTCACTGGAGTTGCAACCTTTGTCGCTACTAGAATCTTCTTGCTTAATAGTCATCTAATTAGACAATATAAATATTTTTATTTATTTATTGAACTGCCTACTCATTAATTTTATATATAATTAATTATACATGCACACGCGTGCGCGCACATACACATGTATATTTTTTGTTAGCATTCTTTTCTAATGTAGTTTTTTTAAAACTTGCTTGTTAAAATTGAATTGAATTATATATATATATACAATGTGTACGTGTATATGAGCGTGTGCATGTGTATGCCTCCATCACGTTGCATACTTTACGCACCTGAATAGGTTTATTAATAATATTTGCCTGATTGATTTTGAAATTCTTTAGATTTTTTGCTTGTGTAGCGGTCATGATTTTAATAGTTCGGACTTTCTTCATGTTTTTGAAGTTTACTGGCAAAAGAATTGATCGCGGATTATCAGAACCCACTGGAGTGACGCGTATCAGTTGTTGAACGTTTCGTTTTCCATTGCATGTGAAATTGCGAACATTCACAATGTTCTCTTGTGGCATAACATGCACTTGCTGTTTAGATGCTGGATCTGTAACATAAAAATTTCTGCATTATTACTATACTGTTGAATTCTCCTCATTATTTCCAGAATATTTAATTAACATTTCTACCAATTAGAGAGTCATTACATATAATGTAGTTATAAACTCAGAAGTAATCGATGTAATAAAATCATTAATCACCAATATCAATCGGCTGTTCTGCGGCGACAACAGTGTTGATATTTGGCATAGTGTTGTTCGGCGTTACAACGGCAACCAAAGTTTGTTCGTAATCCATCTCTTCGGCAACGTCAGTGGCTGGTGAACCGATGTTAGAGCTCATAATAGATCTAACCGGACTGTCTACACTGCCCAAAGACGGACTAGCAGCAGGCTCAAAATCTACGAAATTTTGTGGACTGTTCAAATCGAAGTTGCTGATTTCAATCTGTTCTTCCTCATTGTTGTCCGCTCTCAACAAGAATGGACTCAACTGCTGTTCGTAAGAAGGACTTAGCATGCTAGAAAGCCCGCTGTCCGACGAAGAAGACGGACTTGTTTTCAGATCCTTGCCAATCAAATTGAAATCAAGTTGTGAATCTTCCATCTTTAAGATTGAAGACAACAAGTCATCGGAATTTGTCGGGCATTCCTCCGTCTAAAATATTATAAAAATCATATGTAACCTTTTTGTGTACAATTTTCCTCTATCAACAAATACGACTTCATTCTTGAGTTCATTGCATAGGTTGTTTCTATCTCATTTCTCGCACAAAATTTTCGTCAAAACTTTGAACAACATTTTGAAAAGACATCCAACATACGAGAACTATTACATTTATATTTCCTCTCAATAATATTAATATTTAGCAGAAAAAATTAGTTTTCCTTTCGAAGTTAATATATAATAATAATCTGATATCTTAATTGAAAAATATTACACAGAAAATAATAATTACTATTAATAAATTTATATCAGAGCATGCGGTGTAGAGCTAAAGACAATAAATTGGTCACGAAGAGTTCCGTAAACTAACGGTATCCTTTCGAAGGCCATTTGCTGCGTGATGACCATGTCCGCGGCTGTACCGGTTCGAACATATTCGAAAAAGAATAAAAAAATATTTCGACAATAAAATCTGCAAAAATGTTCGATGCTATCATATAACATCTATCACATGCGGATATTTACAAATAAATCACAAACAAAAACTGTCATATGAAAAAATATTAATAAAAGGCTGTTTTTTGTTATGCCAAAAAATTCATTTAAAGTTTTTCAGTTTATTGTTAGTTAATTGCAGACAAGCACAATATCGTACAACGCTCATTTTAACGGTTTAGCACAATTATGCACGTGGGCAGTTAGTACCATATGTTAATTTTTTGAGATCGAAAAAACGATTTTAATAATATTAAGTTATATTTAGCCTCCTTAGCATCTAATCTGCATTAATCTACATAATATTATTGAGATAAAATACAAAATTTAAAAGAACAACGGCGATGTTTGAATGTTTAAAGTATTCCATTCGTCGAAAAACATCGTTAACATATCGCAAGTGAATCTCTATCTGTAGTACTCTGTTTTAAAATAAAATAAATTGACTAAAATAAATCACTAAGATATAATTAAATATCTATATAATGTACGAAAAAATAAAAAAGTCCTAACTGGTCAAAAACTGAGTTGTCAAAAAATATGCCCGATCTCTAATATCAGTTTTGATAAAATTGCTTTTGAAAAATATATTATCCGCATTCGGCAATATTGTTGATTTTATTCTCGATATAATGTTTTGACATAACAAATTGTAAAACAAATTTTTCGAAGACAAATTTTAGAAAAATTTATTCTTTATTACCTAACGTCATCAATATTGTCGGAATAACATTGCGCGATCGCGATATTACGAATTGAAACATAACAATATTGAAACATAACTAAATATATTTATTTAATTAATAGTTAAATTAAGAAAACATAAGTAAATGAATGGAATTTCGCTCCTGATAGCACAGCACGCCGGCGTACCACGTGCGCGTCCATTTCCACCATATGTTACATAGATATGATAAGATTTATCAATAAAATGTATATTTAGTTCTTATAATGAAATGAAATTGTTATCAAACTCATTGAAAGTATGATTTTAGATAGTAACGATAATTATTAACCGTATTATTACGACATTTAACAGGATTTATGACAATAAATAATGCTTTTTACGCACAGAGAAAAGAATTATTCTAACATGATTAATTTAACTTGTCGAATTCGTGCAAAAACTTATGTTTAATTTGATAATATTGCATAACAAGTACGTAGTTATTGCGCTTTATAAATGTTACTCTTTTTTTACTTGAAAGAAATATTTTAAATTAAAAGTATGTTCAAGTGAGGTTTCTTATATTCGATTGCTTACTCTTTATTTACTATGAAGAAATACGTTAAATGAGAAATGGAACGTAATGAAATACAGTAAATCTTTTAGTGATTCTTAGCAGTGTTTAAGCAAGATGCACAGTAACAGGCTACAATATATTTTCGATAATGTTAATTGTCGAGCTCATAGAAAGTCGTATATAACAATTCTAATTCAAGAAATTAAATGATGCAACGCATCCTTTTCTATCATAGTTATACTATACAGAGTATTTAATGTAAGTTAACATAAAGTTAACCATAAACTTAAATAAGTAACAAATTTTGAAAAATTTGAATCCTATAAACTGCTACATTGTTCAGATATATGGTAATATGAAATAGTGACATGTGATAATACTAAATAGAAAAGTTTTTAATTATAATTTTGATATTTTATTAAATAAATTGATCGATAGTCAATATTTCTATGTCAAACGGATGTTTTTGTAGTATCACGAGCAATAATATACTCTATAATTTAAAGAATCACTGACAATGCGATGTGGCATGGCAGTGCAACATGCGTGTCAGAAGTTCACAGATGGGATAACAAAAAGTGAGTAAACCGGAGCTTACCGCTATGACGTCGTCGTTATAATTGTGATCGACGAACAGCTCATTCTTAATGTCTTCCTTGAAAAACGTTTCATCCAGTAAATCAAGCAGATTCATGTCCGACATCATTGCCACACATAGAGGTTGCAGTTAGGCGTAACCACAAACTGTCACTACTATGCCACCATTAAAAGAAGCACTAATAATGAGATCGTTGAAGTACTTAGTATTCGGTGATATGTGCGAATCGTCGCCAATAGCCGCCGATTGATGTAAAGTTGTAATGTAAAGTAACAGCGAGGATTAACTATGACCTTCTCCTCGCCCCACCCTAAAGCATATTGTCCGAACCGCGTGGAGAAATTGGTTCGCACTTTCGAAAACTTTTCACGATATTTTTACATTTCAACACTCAATACTGTGTGGAAATAACTACATGTTAGATACTGAAACAAGAAACTGACGGAATTACACTCTATTTGTGAAAACTGTGCAACGCTAGAGACCGGACTGCCAACGTGGCACAGCATGTAGCAGCGAGATACGTATGTGTGAGTGGTGCGTGTGTGTATGTGGTATATCTCATTGCTGCAGTTCTATATAGATATAAAACTTCGTAACAGCAGAGTGTAAGTACTTTACGGATGACAGGAATGACGGCCAAATCCGGAACGAGTTTGGAGACCTCGTGTGAAGAAAGTACGAAACTTTAGAGTCAAAGTCGATAAAGAAGTTTAACATCGATAAAGAAGTTCACTGTTTTATGGTTTGTCCGACATATGCGTAATGCATGAATCTAACGCAAAAACCATCAGATCAAAGGAGACTCTTGGGACTCTTGGGACTCTTGGGATCAGCTGATAGTGTATCCTATTTGGCTAGCGTGTTCCAGCAAAAGATCAATCTCAAAATGTACAAAATGATATCTAGGACATGTTTACGAGAAAGCATAAATGCGTTGGCGCCTTTAAAACGTACTGCGATACAACGGGGTCTCGTTAAAGCAGAAAAGAGCGTTGATAAGCCAGGCAAGGTGGCTAACCTCAAAAAATACTGGTTTGGCAGATACATAAATTACATCAAGAATTATGAGCGCACACTGGAACAGAAATTTCCGCGTACGATGCAGCTGTATCGCGTGTTCAGCGTCGGCAGCAAAGATGTGTACACGGACTTGAAAAGGTTCGTTTCTGCGATAAAGAAACAAGGATTAAACGGCGTGGATAGCTTGACGCGAGAGGAGTTGCAGTTGATGTACACGATGCCGAAAGACCTGCGAAAACTGTCACCATTGTTTCTGCTGTCGGCTATTCCGTTTACAAATTACATTATTTTTCCCTTAGCTGTTTACTTTCCGCGCTACCTATTGACATCTCACTATTGGACACTGCAGCAGAGGCTAGAGTTCATGCTATCTGATCATAAAAAGAGATTAAAGCATAATCGATCGCTATTCAGATGCATGCAGGCGGAACTTAAGACAATCAAGGATCAAACGCTCAAAATAAAGTGGCGAGATGCTATAGCTTGTCTGGGAAGCGGCACACATCCAACTACTAAGAATATTATAGCTTGTTCTGAGCTCTTTTCAGGCCCACCATATTCTCTTGATAATCTTAAAAGAAAACACATGGTGAGATTAGATGTATTAATTATAACTGACTGATGTTTTATTAAAAAAATTGTTCTATAAATTATATGCAAGTATTTTTATGTCTTTAGAAAGAATTATTAGCAATACATGGTATGTCTTTGTGGAGACCTTTCAAAAGAAAAAGGTTGATGGAAAGAGGTATGCTAATATTGCGAATGGATCGTGCAATTGTGCAGGAGGGAGGAGTAAAGGCGATGCCTAACGAAGCAATGCGATGGGTAGATACTTTTTATTAACTGTACTTACAGAATACTAAAAAACATGTGCACTAGTATGAAAGAATTTAATTATTTATTTTATTATATATTGTCACAAAAAGCTACACTGGTATATTATCATTATTTTTATAATGTAATTTATTTCTATTTTGCTTATTTTAAAGATTATTCCTCACAACATCAATATGGAATTATTTCAATAAATCTTGTTTTACATAAAACATATGGAAAATTACTTTGTTATTAATTTATTTTTCAGGCATTATCCTTTAGAGGTGTAAATCCTACAAATATGTCTATAGAAAATATGAGAAGCTGGCTTGAGCAATGGTTAGTGGTATCAGCATGTGTTAATAAAACTAATGTATCTTTGTTATTACATAATCCTATTCTATTAGCTTATAATCATTCAACAAATTGGATTCTTATATACAAGTGAAAAACAAATTTTATAACTTCTGTGCAAGATATCTAATATTTTTTTAAGTAATATCAGCTTTCACAAAAATTGCTTTAAAATTTTTAGATTAATTTAGCATTTATTTCACTGATTCAAACGTTCTATATCGCTAGCTGTTAAGAAATTTTTTATTAAATTCGTTTCTTTATTTGTCAGTTCATAAATAGATAATAATTATTTCTGGTTTGTCTTTACATATTTATTTCTTGTATGGTATTAACAAAGATATTTATAATATATTGTATACTATGTAAATTTCTATGCAATAATAGAAAAAGAAAAATGGCTGTTATAATCGTTTTATATATATAATGTATACATGTAGTAAAAATTTGTATTACAATTTATATGTATAAACTATTATTTTATACACTAAAAGAAATTTATCATAGAAAATAGAAACAAAGGCGAGAATTTAGATTTTTCTAACTCGTACGAAGACGATGAGATACAGATTAAAATTCTGATAAAGACTGAGATGAAAATTATGCGATTTATTTTGTTACTTATAAAAAATATATACACTAGTGATGTTTATGCCAAATAAATATTAATTATTTATATTTATTTAAATTTTTATTTAAATACTCATACAATAAAATATATAAATACAAATTTGAACACGAAACAATTTTTACACAGATTTTACATCGTATATTATATTTATAATATATTAATATTCTATGTATAACTGTACAAAACTTAACTCTATTTTCTTGTATATTGCAATTGAATAATACAAGTTCCAATTAAGGAAAAAAGCAAATATAAAGACCAATTGAAAGACCTAAAAAAGATATAAATAATAATAATGAGTGATTTTTTTATACCAGAGGATACGCTTGCGGAGTGTAAGTCTGTGTTTTTTCATTCCACGTTCGAAGTTAGTGCCAAAGAAGAACGCTAAGGATCGGTAAAAAAATATGAACCATGAGATAGCTCAATATTCAACATCGCCAGTCAATGATATGTTTCACATATCATATGATCTTTAAGTCCAACTAAATTATTAGACCGATTTCCAATATTCTCAAGTACTGCTTTGACCAAGCAGTATCTTACATTATCTTATGTTTTTCATCTTAGACATCACATAACAGTATATGTAGCTTAGAATGAAGAATTGCAGTTTACAGCCAATTAATTATCTTTGTTTTCAACTCTTAAATCTAATCAAAGATGGGATGCGGTTTTCTTAACATTCAGAAATATGTATAAACATTTTTACACAAATTTTCCAGATATTTTCTAGGTGAACTCTTTGTCTAAAATGACCTTTAAATATTTCACCAACTTAGATTACTTCCTCTTATTCCACCAAGTTTTTTTAAAGGATTATTCAATTGTATTCTCCTTCTCATCAAATTTCTTAATTTTTTAATCATAAAGTTTTAATCACTACAATAATGAAAAACGAGTACTTACCCTTCATTCAACATTAAACATTCACTATTCCCAGTGAAATTATTACTCGTCCTAGCATATCCTAGATCTATTTTACGAATTTTTATATACTCTTCGTCGCCGTGCAACCAATAAATAAATGCAATATCTTTTAATAGTAATATTAAGTGTTTTAAAATCGGTATGCGTCTATATTAATATTCAAATTTAAAAATAATTTATAACGTTGTTCATTTAGTTTATATAATATTATATTTCACTATTTTCTTGATATCGTTTTTTGATTTCGTATGCCATTATGAATAAAAAAAGAAAGAGAAATTCAAAGAATTTCTAACATTATATATAAATGTATATAATTTGTCATAAAAATTTTTGTTTATTATTACAGATAATTCACTTTCATTAACACATAATATTTAGAAAACTGATAAATTTTTTTATTGAATTTATAATATATTTACAAAATATACATATATAATTAATATTTAAGATACACATTTATGATACATCCAAGATAACCGACTACTCATATAAGAAATGTATCTAGAATTATCATTTTAGATACTTACTTAAATTAATTTAGATATATCAACTTATAGCTACAGCACTTAAGCATGAAAGTTATTTATAAAGTATAATAAAGAGAAAATTTTTTGTATACAGTTTCAATAAGTAAATAAAAAATTGTGGAACATTTAATTCATTAGTTTAACTTAAATTTTGCAATGTATGCACTGTATAAAAAAAATCTCTAAATATAATAATGAAGAAATGACATTTCTAAATATATAAATACTTTTATTTAAATA